AAACCGGCTGAATTTAAAAGCAATGGATTTGAGAAAACGCCCCCTCCCCTTTAATCTAAGCCAAAAAGAAAAAAAATTGATGCAATAATAGAAATTTTAAAAATGAGTTAATTTTTTATATTCCATAAGGTTTATTTCCTAATCTCTCAATAAGTAAATAATAAATAATAAACTTTTATAACATTCAAGAAATCTCTTCCCTGCATTATCAAAGAATAGTGATAAATTTTATTAGCTCTACTGACAAAACCGCATTCTGTGATTTATATACATCAGCCAGGATACAGCAATACCACTTTTCTCTTCTGTCCTGATATAAAAAAAAGCTAGCATTATTAAAGCAAATTGCTTATTATTAACACTTCTCATATAATATCTGTTTAAACCCAGATTATGAAAAAGTCTATGTTTTATTGCCATTAAACACTGCAAAAACTGAAACCGAATTTGCTTAAAATCAATTTATGACAATGATGGACTACACAGAAATATTTGAGATCTATAATATTATGTTTCAAATAGTATCTAAGAATAATCACTATCAAAATTTTGAAAAATTTGGAATTTTTAGGCAGAAGCATACAATATTTCTTCATATAAAATATAATTAAAACCTTTTTTAAATTGTAACATTGTACACTCATGATTACCTGTCTTCTCCTAACTCTACACTGTATATAGAAATGATCATAAAGGTAAAGACCATGCATTTAAAAAAAAAAAAAAAAAAGATAGTACACTCTTCCATAGTGTGTTATGATACTTTCAATTTGCTAAGATCTCAACCATCTCAATTAAAATTCAGATTAAGTGCACAGTTTGGAAGACATACATAAAATTAAAAATACTGTATGGCATCTCTGCTTCGTAAAAATAGCAAATTTCTAATTCTGTATCAAGAGCACTCGCATTAAATAAATGATGTTTTACAAAATTTAATTAAAATTGCAGCACCAAATTTATATTAAACATAACTTAAGAATGAAACAGAAACACTATTTATGCAAAGGTACATCCTGATAAAGTACATTCTTCTTTATGAGGATATGATATATCATGATAAAGAGGATACTATATATATAATCAAGACAAGATATATCTGGTTCTCAACTTTCAAAATCCTAACAGTCAAAACATTCTATGATGGCTTTCCAATAAATAGGTGTCAAATTCCCAATAAAGTACATACTCGTATATTCCTATAATGATCGACATATTAAGTAGCATTTAATATCTAAATATACACAACAGCCTAACAGGCCAGTCGTATAAGCTTGGATATTGTGACACACATTCAGATACAGCCAATTGTATTGTAAAAGAAACATGATCCAGATATAACTGAACGGAGTAATGGTTTTACACTTTGGTTGCCAAAACAGACATGTAAAAAAAGGTAGAATTTTTGTCTGCATGGACCTAATGTATCCAAATAGATACAAACTAATTATGGCCTAGAAATAAACCATATAAATACACTCATGTCCATAAATTAAGGATAATGCAAAATCCGGCAAAGAAAGAGTTAGAAGCAAACCAAATTTGACTTATTTGTAAAGCTTATTTATTAAACAAAAGGTAAAGAGCAAAAAAAGATGCTATATGTTTGATATTATTTAAAAAAATTAGCGATTTTTTCTCCCTGGAGCAAATTACAAAAAACAACCTATTTACAAAAAACCAATATTACATGGTTGGTATGATTGTTAATACATTGTATGTCTCCCAGACGATGCAATACAGTCCGTACAACGCCTAGGCATGCTGAGTATCAAATTATCAATCTGATCTTAGGGGATATTACACCACTCAAAAAGCAATGATCTCCGAAGTTCCGGTAGACATGTAGGAGGAGCTTGACGGGCTGCAACTCGTCAGCCAACCATGTCCCACACGTGCTCAACTGGATTCAAGTCCGGTGAGAATGCTGGCCAGTCCTTATGGGTGATATCCTCCGAATGAAGGCACTCGCTCACGATGTTTGCACGGTGAGGACGGGTGTTGTCGTCCATAAACACAAATTGTGCGCCCATGGCGCCCCGAAACAAACGTACATGTTGTTCCAGAATGACATCCCGATAGATTTAGCTTGTCATGGTTCCAATTTGAACATGCAGGTCAGTTCTGGAACCCAGAATAATTCCACTCCAAACGAGGACTCCTGCACCACCGTAACGGTGTCGTTCAATGATGTTTTCTTGCTGGTAAAGGGTACTTGGAGCTCTCCATATGAAAGTCCGGCGAGAATCAGACTGCAAGCTAAACCTGGACTCGTCGGAAAACATCACACAAGCCCACTGTTGCGGTGTCCACAATGCATGCTCTCTACTCCAGGCTAACCGCAGGCGACAGTGAGTTGCAGTAAGTGGAACGCATCTGACAGGTCTAAGAGCATATAGACCAATCTGTCCTAAGCGTCTGTACACGGTCTGCCTTGAAATTGTCGTACCAGTGGCCGAAGAGAGCTGACAAGACAGGTCTGAGGCTGTGCTCCGCCTGTTTCTTTTGGCAGTAACCGCTAAATAGCGGTCTTCATTCGGCATTGTAACTCTGGGGCGACCTGTGCTGTAATGTCTACTCACATTACCATCATCTTGGAATCGTTGCCAAAGCCTGGAGATGACACTCTGGGCAATTCCATGTTCGTCTGATACTTCCAGTTGGGTATGCCCAAATTCCAGACGCTCGATAATTCTACCACGTAAAAAATCATCCAAAATGCGTCCTTTGTGTCATAACTATTCAGTTATTGCACTGAAATGCTTATAAAGCGCCTGCGAACAATTTTACTTCTTTGCCTGTATTCCTTATATATCACTCTCTTACACTCTCGTCATTGTGACGTACCATCGGGTGTCATCTGGTTACTTCCTGAAATTTGCATATGATTCTTGAAGATGTGTGTAGGGATTTTACAGGTGATATATTTATTTTAGAGTTCGATTTCCGCGTGACTCTGAATTATCCTTAATTTATGGACATGAGTGTATAATACAGGCTAGCTCCAGATAAACCAAACCCAAAGCAAATGAAGAACAAATGAACTGTAAGGTGACATATTATAAGTGGCCCAAGGCAAGCCAAACCAAACATGGTAGATTTCATTGCCTTGTATTCAGTTTATCTTGGGCCACTTGATTTAATGTATTTGCATTAGAAAATATTTATGACATATTAAAAAAATACTAATAGCAGCCAATAACAGATTTTTATATTGTGGTAATTACTGGGCTAATCTGGTGAGGTACAAGGTCTTATAGCAAAATGGTACATTTTACAGTGTACAAAAAATTAAGCTTACAGCAGAAAAAGGTATTTCACCTTTCAAATAACTTTAGAGATTAAAAAATTTGCACATGGCCACTTTTCAAAAATTCCATTGTGTAATTTACTAATGAAAGTATACAGAAACTGACAATGAAAGTATACAGAAACTGACAGTAAACTTTAACACATAGAATTATGTCCAGACACAAAAAATTGCACTACTCCAGACACAAAAAGAAAGTGGTTTGTCCAAGATAAAATTCATTTGATGTCAACATTATGCAAATTTGGACTAAAGCAATTCTGAAACAGTAATATCCTATTTATCATTTGTTAGAATGAAAGCATCCAAAAGAGGTTCTAATTTCTTTACTTACAATTCTGACTCAGTGAAATAGAAAGATAGCGATGAACTACATGTGCAACCTCCATGTATAATATTCAGAACAAAAAAAATTGTACTTCCTGATAATTATTATGGCCCCCATTATTTAAATGTAATCAACAGCTGTTAATGGACTGTGCTAAAGTGGCAACTCTACTCAGATCTCTTCTTGTAACAGCCAGATGGTAGATGACTGTGGTTAGAATTGCCAGTTATTTCATCATAGTTTGCAAAGAGCTCTGAGTAGGTATGTTGCAGTCCAATAACAAAAGGGCTCGTAGTGCCATTTAAATATTAGGATGTCATAATAATAAGAAAGACCAAAACAACTACTACCTCCATCAGATACAATAAAACATTAAAAAGTTAATCTGTGATATATCTGTCAAACATACTAGAATAGCTAATACAGTAGAAGTCCAGAAATCCACAAAGCTTAGGACCAGAGGTTGTGCGGATTTTAGGATTTTGCGGATTTCAGGACAGTAAAGATAAATCATAATATTCAGACTAAAAGTGCAAAATAAATAAGGCGCACTAGATACATTTAATTAAATTATCATATACATCATTGCAATAACTTATTATATGCATTAAATTATTATTACATATATAAACTGATTACATTATTTCATTATATATATATACACAGCATCGAGGTTTGCCGATTTCGCCTCATGCAGAGATTTCCGGTTTCGGATTCCAGTGCTAGAATCACTGTTGCTGTAAAATTTCAACAGCTTTTCCTTATTTTTCTGTATATCATACACAATCATATCGCAATTCCATACGATTCTGCTATAAAATGCACCTGTCTCCATCTTTTGCAGAATTTACACTTTTGCATTACCATCAATGCAACGTGTTTAAATTTTTCAACATTGCAAGCAGTAAAATCATGAGTGCATTTCTTATCTGTAATTGTATTAAAAAGGGCTGAAATTTAAAATGTTCTTAATTTATACACAAAATATCCAGATATAGATGAGGCAGCACTAAATAATCTCGTTAAATAACAAAGCTCAGAAAATACAACATGAATTTTGAACTTGAAAGAAGAGTGAATCGTCTTGAAAGTAGAGTGAATCGTCTGCTTTCTTACCTCGATGCGGATTAGAGGGGAAAAAACTTTTTATCATGATGTCAATAATTTGGTATTTTCGTTATGACTGATTATTATTCAGTAATTATGAAATCATTATTCGGTAAGTATTTTTTCTTCGATATTTCGTACTCAATGTTGAGGTTTCCGGAATCCATAAACTGAATGTTTATATTTTGCGAGGCAACGCAGGTCGGTGGATTTTTGATATTTGATTTCATTATAAAATTACAAGCAAAGTATCAATTATTTTTAACAATATATCTTTATTAGCACATCACAATATTTACAAATTGACTTTTGATTATTTCAATATTTTTAAAGTTCAGAATGTTCTGACTGCTGAGTACTATCAACAGTGACATCTTCTAAATCAGGCTCTACCTTGGATTTGGGATCTTCAGTTCCATTTGATGCATCATCAGCAATTTTTATAGAGTTCTTGTAATCATTAAAATGTTCTGCAATACAAAATATAAATGAAAATTTTACACATTTCAGAAGCAGATATGGGCATACAATACCATAAAAGTAATGAAGCATAACTAAAATCCTCTAAAACGACTAATTTGCTCTATGAAATGTTATATTTCTATTCACAAAAACTAACTTTCCAATCACTGCAAGTGTACATCAGCAAGAATTGTTGGCTGAACAGACAGGATACACAGCAAAGCTCAGAAACAATTATTTCCTACTAACATTAGAATTATTTTATGCCTAGAAACTGGAAAAGAATATTAGAGCTCAAAATATTTAAGGGTAATTCTCAATAGTAATAAGAAATTTTTAACTGAAAAGTACAACAGAAATTTAAGTCACAAAAAGTTCAGACACAGTTCACAATAAAAATTTTACATACAGCAGATATAGAATTTACATATGAAAAATTTTACTTTGTTATGAAGCATATTATATTTAGTAGAGGTTAGGTTACTTGAATATAGCATACTAGAATTATCTGCCTGAAGGAAGGGATGCCTTTGTGGAGTACTTTCTAATGAAAACATTCAGATTTATGACACACGTGGAAGACAACCAAGAAAACTAACCATGCAGGCAGCCTGTTTGCTAGCAGGGATTGAACCCTGGTCAAAATCCCAGTATTCAGCAGCCTTAATCCACTCAGCTGCTCGTGGGGTCATTTAGGTAAGATAAATATACTTATCAATATATATTCCTGCTATTTTCTATATGTGTAGTATTCAGAAGACTACTATGCTATCAGGCAATAAGCCACTATGAAAATAATGGACAGAAATACAAATAAAAGGAAACTAAAACCAACACGAAAAATTATCTAAGCAGCTAAAAGCATCATTATGGTATGGTTACAATATTTTTCTTTATAATGTAATTTAAAACTAATTATTTTTCTTCTACCAATTTGCTATTATAATTTGCTACATTACAATTTTTTACATTTATATTTCTTCTTCGTTACCTCGAATATATAAATCAAAACCGCTGAATCGTTAATGCATTATTTTATCGTACTGTTCAAGTTAACAAGAATTTTATAAAACTCGCAAACTGTTCATCTACAATAAAAATATATACCATTTACTTTATTTAATGCAACTATTAATTTCAAGTAAGTCATTAAAATTATTCACCTTTTTTTATCAGAGACTAAAAAAAGAAACATTATAATATCTGACAGATAAGCATAAGTAAAATTAATGATTAAGTTGCAATAGCATAACATGTAAATAATAAATTTAAAAGTAACCCTCAAATATTTTAATACTTATTAATGTTTACATATAAGTGCACTATCTTTTTGGAAACAAAATATATTGCATTTATATTGGATTTCTTTTTAGAATCCAATATCTAGTTTAAAAAAAAAAAAAAAAACTGTTTTACCATTAGAAGTGAAAAATAAAGGATATGGTGTTAATATGGTAGTATTATTTGTAGTTCAATAAAAAATTGTTAAGGTAGTCAGTCTCTATTTGCATCTTTATTACATTGTCTTAGTTGAGAACAAACACTTACTGTTTTTCCCCAATGAAAAATACATCAGAAATTATTTTAAAAAGCAAATTAAAAGTGCAGAGCATCTGAATAAAAAAAAAAACTCTAAAATAATGAAATTATATTTCAGAGAACATTTACATGAACTTCTTTCTTACAGCCCAGCACAGAGAGCCTTTCCATGCTATGCAAATACACCAAATGATACCTGATCACATCACATATTAGTAACACAAAGAAGCAAAGTACAATGGTGACATTTCGAATAGCAGCTAGAATGTTGTGTTTTAACCAAATTAATACTACCACAGCTCTTACAGCAGAACACGGAAGATGACTGCAAATACTGAAATATATCTGCATGACAAAAAGCTGAAGACTAGAAAGTTTGCTATGTAAAAATCCTCTCTCTCTCTCTTGACTCTTGAAAAGCCAAAGGCACTTCAAAAAGACTTCTTTGACAGTGGGTCAATGAATGAGGTTATCATTGAAGCTTGTAATGCCATAAACACTGTCTATACTGAAGTTCATTTCAAAAACTATATACAGTTGAAAAAAATGTGTACAAAAACAATTTTATTTATTTTTCTCTTATTTTTTGGATACCTTATCTAGATATTTTACATAACAGCAACAGGCCAAATCTACAATTATACATTTAATACATACCCAACTGTGGATCCAAAGTATAATCCAATAATCACTAAAAATATTCTTCCAAATCAAAGTATATACCATATTTATTCACATCTTTACCCCATTAATATATTTTTCCTTAGCCTTTTAAGACAAGGTTCTGAAAATTTTTAAGTATTCACATAATTTTCCTCTTACTCAAGACATTCAGAAAGCGAGCTTCCCTAAATCAGTTCAACTAGCTTCCCTAAATTTTAAAATGCATTCGTCATTGTTTTCTTTACATTAACTGATCTGTTTATAAAGCTTAGGTGTAGGAGCTCTGATTGATGAGGCAGTAATAATGAACATCTTCAAGAAAATGGAAATATCTAATGCTCTTGATGGTTCTGAAGATCATTACATGTGGGACAACAGAATGAATGGTGAAAACAGTGACATTGGTGATGACCTGCAAGATATAGCAGCAGACACATACAGCTTGTCCAGCAGCAATAAACAATTTGAGGTATAGAGATTAACAGTGGACAAAAAGAGCGGGTGAGTTTCAAGATAGAGATGCACACATGAAGATAGCTTATTACACTGCATAATGCGAATATTATTATATATTCTAATTGGAATATAGGTTTCTTTCAATAACTAATATTGTGATTGTTGGCAGTTATTTATTCATAAATGCTTCTCATTTGTTTTCTCCTACCGTAACCACTATCTTTGGAAATTAAATTTATTTGCATTATTTTCTCCTTTGATATTTATATGATAAAATTACTAAACCTGAGAATAAATACACAACTGAATGTAGTATATATTTCTTTTAAGATGAAAAACATCAGACTTCATGGGGAATATAATTTCTTATAAAAATATAAGTGCTAATCATTTCAATTCTTAAACATTGCAAGTGCAATAATAAAATGCATCATGGAAATTTTAAGGATTTTAGTTTTTAAGTTTAACATGAACATGGATACTTACATATTAACGCAGCCATATTGGCACAATCTGGCGATTTTTTACAGATGAAAAAGGAAAAATTACTTACTAGGCACAAGTTAGTTGTTTTTGAGATTTTTTTTAGAAAAATTCCTAAACGATCAACACTTATTGTAAGTCAGCAAACATTAAGATAAACACACTTTCAGAATTTAAAATACAAATTTTATTTAAATTTTAATCAAATTTTTTACGGATTGCATGCTACATTTAAAAAAAAAACTCTCTTCACAAAATCTATAATTTATTTTCACCATTCTTCTCCACAAATACACAGCAATCTGTTTTGCTGAAAGAAAAAAAAAAAATCGGAGAACTGCAAACCTCAGCAATACCATCACACAAACTTCAGTAATACCAACTCTCTAGCAAATGTGTCTCCTCTGTTGGCTTTAGTTTTCCACATGCAAATTTTGATTGGAGGTCGATCGGCGGTAAGCTAACGTGGTTGCTGCTGATTGGCCGATGACGTCAAGATCGGCGGGTTGGCCGAGTATAATATATATGTACGCCGTATCGCCGAATCTTGTTCATGTTCTCTTGTGTCATTATGAGTTAGCATAATGCTAGTTTGCTTTCACTAAATGATTTTAAATGTAAAGGCTACAGCGTTAGCTCTTTTATTTTATTTACGGAATAAAGCAAGAATTTTATTTAGTTTAGTCTTAGCTTTACTTAAGGAAAGCAAAACATGCTTTGCCTTTATCACCACTGACAACAGGGTTATGGGCCCAAGCGCCAACAGCTAATCAGTCATCCAGTTCAACTCAGCTTTGAAGGAATGTAGGTGAAGAGGGCCGTTATCCACGAAAAGAAGCTGACCTGACTTTGAAGTTTGTTCAAGTCGTTGTGCTCACACTTAATTGAAGATGTCATTACTACCTGAAGGTTTTGAGTTGTTAAACCATGACAACTGGGATCGATGGAAAGTCGACATGAAAATGCTGTTACTGGATAGAAATTGTAGCTATACTGTTGAAATTGTTGGAGCTTCATAGAGGACAAAGAAGAAGAATTAGATAAAAGTGCAACAAGGCGTGAAAAGCAGGAGTTCACACTGAGGGAGAACAGAGCCTTCACTACATTATATTACGGAATTAAAGCTGAGTTCAGGCCGCTGATACAAGAATGTTCAAGTGGTAAAGAAGCGTGGGAAGTTCTACAGAAGCAATTCGAACCCAAACAAGAGCAAGGATAATTCAGTTAGTGGATGAATTTTTTGGTATTAGATATATGCCAAATGAAGAAATAGGATTATTCATTGCAAGAATAAGAATGACTGCAAAGAAGTTGGCTGAAGCTGGTCACAACTTGGCAGATCTTTTTAAAAGTTTTCCAGGCAATAAGGAGATTACCCCAGGAATACTACGGCATTGTACAATTGATCTATAGGTGGAAGGACAAAGATTTTACGCTGGAAAGAATTGCTGAAGAGCTGGTAAGGGAAGAAAGCCAACTTCGCCAGGTAATTGCCGATTTAGAAGACAGCAAGGTAAGCGTGTTTAATACTATTAGTTTAAACGCAGGGAAAGATAAAGTTGAAAATAAAACTAAATCTAAGAAAAAAATGGGGAATATGAGAATAGGACCTTGTTTCAGATGTCATAAATTTGGGCACTTAATTGCTCAATGTAAAGAAAATGTAAGTAAAAATCAGAAGTTTAAAATAGATGATAAAAATGGACAGTTTAAAGATAAAGAATTAATGTTAGTAGAAAATTATGTAACAACTACAGATAAAGGAGGTAACGCAGATAAATTTAATTGGGTCGTAGATACTGCAGCTACGACTCATTTCTGTAATAATAGATATTTAATGACAAATTTCGAAGAAATAAACGATATACGTATGTCTTTAGCTGTAGGAAATTGTGAAAGTAAAGTATTAGGAAAGGGTACTGTCAAATTTGCAGTAAAAGTAGGCAATCGAATAAATTGGATTGAGTTAGATAATGTGTTATATAATCCAAATCTAAGAAGAAATTTATTATCGGGAGCAAGGTTAGAAAAGGCTGGTGCTCATTTTGTGATTTCAAAAGGGAAGATGTGGATATACTTTAATAATTGGCATAGATTATGCTACGCTAAACGATATGACGGACTTTATCACGTAAAACCATTTAGATATGCAACAGGTAAAAGGGAAGCTGGTTACGGTACAGAAATTGGAAAGGTCAATAAAGTAGATGATGCAATGTTATGGCATCGGAGATTTAGCCACGTAAATTTTGATTATATTAAGAAAACTAGTAAGAATCAAAGCGTGAAAGGGTTACCAGAAATTGGAAAACCAATAGAAAGGTATAAATCGTGTATTATTGCTAAATCTAGTAGAATAACTTTTAAATCTGTTCCGAAGAGATTGGATAAACCATTGCAGTTGGTTTATTTAGACGTTTGTGGCCCACTACCAGTTCCATCTAAGGGTGGGAGTAAATATTTTCTTGCTATTGTAGATGACTATAGTGGATTAGTAACAGTGTATTGTATGAAAATTAAAAACGAATCGTTCTACAACTTTAAGAATTATCATAGGCAAATGGAAAGACTGGCGAATAGAAAATTAATAAGTATACGCACCGATAATGGTGGGGAATTCTGTAACAGGCAATTCGAAGGGTACTTAGCCGAAAATGGAATTAGTGTTGAACGCACAAACGCGTACACCCCAGAAGAGAAGAATTTATGCTGGAAAAAATTTATTGGAAGAGATTTATGCTGGAGAACGGTGTGTGTGAACGTTTTAACCGAATGGCATTAGACGCAGTTAAAGCTATGCTTAATGACGGTAAAATGGGAAAAGAATGGTGGGCTCTTGGCTGTTTCGTACATACGTGGAACAGAGTATGTCATAAAAGCAACCGAACCCCTTATGAAATGTTCCTAAATAGAAAACCCAGTGTTGTTTATTTTAAAGTATTTGGTTGTAAAGCCTATGTTGGCGTGCCAAAACAGATTAGGAATAAATTAGAAATGAGGTGCAAAGAAGGAATCATGGTAGGATATGCGAAGGAAACTAGGGGTTATAGGATATGGCTGCCAGAAGAACGCAAATTAATAGAAACCTGCAATGTGAAGTTCGATGAAAAACGGTATGCAGCAAATGGCATCCTGGAACAGAAATCAAAACCTAAATTTAAAAGACTAGAGGAATCTGAGCTATTAGCAGAATCAGATGAAGAACAGGAAATTTCTAGAGAAGAAATAAAGTTGTCAGATGACAAATCTACTCCGAAAGAAGTATCAGACTTAAACTGGCAAAGAAAAGCAGTTAAAAGGCCAGATGGAACACGTACAGACATATATTATTAAGTAGAGGGAACAGACACCCGTTTTAGATCCTATAATGATATTGAAAAGTATTGTGAGGCAAGAAATATTAAATATGAAAAAGATAAGTTTGATTTTAGTGGAAAAAACGAATACTCGGGGAAAGTTAATTTTCGTAGAACAGGAGACTAGCTCTGTGTCTGAAGAGGCAAATTCCGTAGAAATAGTTATCCCACAAAATTTTAAAGAAGCACGAAAATCAGTAAATGCCGAAGAATGGGATAAGGCAATGAAAGAAGAAATCGACACAATAAAGAAAAGAAAGGTTTGGGAATTAGTCGAAAAGCCAGAAAATAAAACTATAATAGGAAACAAATGGGTCTATACGCTAAAAAGAAATGAAAAGAATCAAGTGGTTAGATACAAAGCACGCTTAGTAGCACAGAGATTCAGGCAGAAAAGAGGTGAAGATTTTGATGACGTTTACAGTCCTGTAGTAAATTTTTCAATCATAAGAATATTTTTCACTATACTGGTATGTTTGTATGGATGGACTAATTGTCAGTTAGATGTAAAGAATGCATATTTATATGCAAACCTAAATGAGAAAATATATATAACCCAACCAGATGGATTTATCGAAGAGAAAAATAAAGTGTGTTTATTACACAAGGCCATTTACGGTCTACATCAAAGTGGCCATGAATGGTTTTGTGAATTTGAAAGTACTTTAGAAAATCTACATTTTAAGAAAATACAATGGTGTAATTGTGTTTATAAGGGTTCAAATGTAATTCTCTTGTTATATGTAGATGATATTGTGATTTTTAGTAAAGATCAATATAGTATAGATAAAGTAATTTCACAGCTGAATAAGTTTTTTGATCTTAAAGTATTAGGCAAAACTAAAACGTTACTTGGAATTGAATTCTTAGAGAATGAGAATGGGGTTTTTATACATCAGCAAAAATACATCGAAGAAATTTTTGAAAAATTTAAACATTTCCAGATACCAATAACTTAACTTCCCATAGCTAAGGGCACTATTCTTACAAAATTAGATTGCCCATCTACAAGTGCAGAAGTTGCGGAAATGCATACATTACCCTTTAGAAATCTGTTAGGATATTTAGTTTTTTTAGCTAACAGGACAAGGCCTGATATTACATATGCAGTGAATATCTTATCACAATTTCAGGAGAATCCTGGAATTAGGCATTGGGAAGCATTGTTGAAATTGCTTGGTTATCTCAATAGTACTACATTATATAAGTTAAACTTATCGAAGATTAAACATCTAAATTTATATTGTTATTCAGATACTGATTATGCAAGTAATAGAGATGACCGTGTGTCCATGGGAGGATTTATATTATATTTAGATGAAATACCGGTAATCTGGAAAACTGTTAAACAAAAATGTGTAAGTTTATCAACCATGGAAGCGGAGTATATCGCTTTATCTGAAGCAGCGAAGGAATTAATGTGGACGAAAAATGTCTTACAAGATGAAATTTTAAAGTTTAATTTAAGAGAGTGTAAACTATTTTGTGATAACAAGTCTGCCATTGATTTTTCTAGATCGCCAATAGAAAATCGCCGAACTAAGCACATAGATGTAAAATATCAATTTATTAGAAGACTAGTAAATCATGGAGTGTTTGACCTTGAATTTATCACCAGTAAATTAAATACTGCCGACTTATTTACAAAAGCAGCGACTACTGTTAATTTAAGAAAGTTTTGTTTAGATGTTTTCAGTGTTTAAAGACAATAAGTGTTTTCGTATAATAGAATTGAACTATGAACTTCTGTGAAAGTTTTGTTTTTGTCTTTGCATGGGGAAAAGAGGGCCGTTTGTTGGCTTCAGTTTTCCACATGCAAATTTTGATCGGAGGTCGATCGGCGGTAAGCTAACGTGGTTGCCGCTGATTGGCCGATGACGTCAAGATCGGCGGGTTTTCCGAGTATAATATACATGTACGCCAGTATCAGCGAATCTTGTTCATGTTCTCTTGTGTCATTATGAGTTAGCATAATGCTAGTTTGCTTTCACTAAATGATTTTAAATGTAAAGACTACAGTGTTAGCTCTTTTATTTTATTTACGGAATAAAGCAAGAATTTTATGTAGTTTAGTCTTAGCTTTATTTAAGGAAAGCAAAACATGCTTTGCCTTTATCACCACTGACAACATCCTCATCATTCCCTTCAGAGATTTTGCAGCAGAACTCTATATTCCTGAGGAAATTTTACAGCAGTTTCTTCCATTGCTGGCAAATTCCACGAACACATATATTAAAATTTAATTTAAGGCAAAAGATACCATGAGTTGTTTATAAAAACTGTTGGATCTTGGAATACATTGAAAAGAATACATATAAGAATAGTGGAATTGCTTCAATGAAGGATTGATATTAGCATGGTTGCCAGAGTCTGGTACATTCTGAAAATTTGATGACTTCTACTAAGATGATAACACATAAGTATGTGAATGCATTCAAAATAAAAATATTTTAGTCAACTGCAAATTCTGAAACTCAGCTACATTTATCAAATACAGCAAAAAAATCACATTATTTTTGGTCACATAACTTTAAACTGTAAATCTACAACAGTACTTTTTTAATTTAACAGCATGGGAGTGAATGGCATTTGATCCAAACAATTGGGAAAAAGCTGAGTATTTGCCTTCTTAAGGCCATTCTGACAAGTATGTACAATACAGAATTGGAAGTATTTACAACTGTGACATCTTCAAAATAATCATTTTGTAATTTTAAAAAGAAATCTGTAGAAATGATATAAAATACCTTCAAATTTTGAAAGATTAGAAATCTCATTTATATAAAACTCTCCATTGTACTCCAACTGTACATAATTTCATATTTATGATTCATACTCTGCAATAACAAAGCTCCATGAAGCATTCTTGCTCTGATGATTAATTTTTAAATATACTTAATTCAACAATAATTTTAAAAGCAAACAGATATATAAACACTCTTATTTTACAGCTAGAAAGAACTGATAACATGTTTTTATATATTTGGAATCAATAATAAAGTCGGCAGTTAAACTCCATATCAGACGGTAGAGAAATTTAGCATGCCAAAATCTTACACACATAAAATTTAGTACTGCTTTAATAAAACATTTATTAATGGACACTTTATGAGGAATACAGAACACTATTCAAAGTAAAATTTTAAATTAAAAATAGTACAGCCTTCTTTCAAAGCTTTGATACACTCACCTACACAGCCTTCATCTGGAATAAAATGGTAACCAAAAGAACACATTTCACAATTTTTTGGACCAGGTCCCCTGCAATGACCTTTGCATGCTTTATCACATATCCTGCAAGAAAACACTTTGCCAGCTTCTTGATAATACCCTTTAGCACAAGCGTCACATAGCTCTCCGGTATAACCAGCATCACAAAAGCAGCTTGCTGGTTCTTCTCTAGTGCCCCCTTTCTGAAATAGAAAATAAAAGAAAATATTTATAATTTGTCCTTCTTTCAGAAAAAGCAACATAAATATTGTGATTCTGAAACTGAGAAACATAATAAAATATTTGTGCAAAAACATTTACGGAGAAAATTATATATATGATTGTATAAATAAATTTCCAATAAAAAATGCCATACTAAATAAAAAATAAGACTCATCTCTTTCTTGTTACATTTTTTTATCTAAACTTTGGTGGAGTCTCATAACCAGGTATTTTAATAATTGAAATTGCAGAATGAGACAAAGAAGTTTAATTAGCATATTATGTAGAATACACTGTTTAAAGAAAAAGAGCTTAATTATTGCACTGCAAAGAATGATTATACTTTTTATATACAAAGTAATAACAACAGGTAATTTCTGTATATAAGAAACTGCATAACGACTGCTAATAAAAGTCGTAATAGTAAAAGTAAAATATATTCATTTAGGAAGCTCACTTTCATTCTAACCACAAACAAATAAATCCTAATTATAACCATGCTCTCATCACATATTCATCTACAGTTTTATTTTTAAAATCATCCTATAAGGAGTCTTACATTTGACAGGAACTTATTTTTGCATAAACATGGTAAATAATTTGTTTTAACCGCTTCCCTTACACATTTTTTTGGAAAAAATTGGAAAAAATCATCCCATTTTTTTATTTTATTATTAAATACAAGGAAGCTAAACAAAACAAAATATATAGGTTTTAAGTTGAATTTTTAATTTTTTAGAGGTGTAAAAGCATTTAGTTTTAATATTAGTTTACTATCCCGAGTTATCTCGGGAAATAAAAAAAAATTAAATATTAGTCATTGTATGAAAGTTTTTGAAACAAGGGACATCACAAAATTATACCTGACATTCTATACACTGGTGTCTGGTCTTTTTCTTACTGACTTACCTCTGGAATCTCTTTTACGGGAGCACAGAGAACACTGTCTCATTGGATTCCATTTTTTTTTTTCAGTAGCAGGAATAACACCTGGAAAATGCTTTGAGGTTATAATCACTATCTGAAAAATCATTGCTTTCAGTATCTTGCATCATCACCATTATTTTACTTTTTTCAATGCAACTATCATTCTTTATACATTACTAATAAACAAGCCAACATATACCAGACAATAGGGAAAACACTTGACCAGTCCCGCCAAAAGAACTCCGAAACCAACAAAACTTGGCGAACTGCCAATAAAAGCTGAATATTTCCTTTCATTTTCTCCAGGCCGAGTAAAACCGTGATAAAACAAATCGTACTGACAAATTCTGCTTTGCCTGAGTTTTCTCGGGATAATAATTAACTGCAATATATACAAGCTCGGAATAACTCGGGATAATCAGGCAAGCGGTTAATAAAACAATTAAGACTTCTCAAATATCCAGCAACAGTACATCAAATATTCCTAGATTTTCAAAAATCTCGTATTTTAGAAGACCTATAAAGATTGGTGTGTCTGTACAGGGAACTTTAAAAATCTAAAGCCACTCTTAGGATTAGGACTTATAAATCATTAATGTTACTGTGATTCAATTTGGTTGCCCTCTATAACAAACATCCCTTGCAGGCTATACTGTAATCAATTTACCAACCAACCTTACCCTCTTCGCAAATTTGCTCTTGATCTCATGTCTCATCCAGGTTTATTCTCTCCTTTTCTTTTCAGCCACAGCTGAAGATATACGAAACCTTTAAACTATTCATTCAAAATAAAACTTAGTTCATTAAATCTGCCCCTTTTTCTTCCACCAGAAAATCTTGGTACAATAAGTCAAAAGCGAGGAGAAATCTTCTACCAAGGCATGAAAGATATGGAGAAACTGCACTAAAGTGATATGTTCATATACTGCAGATGCTATTATGATACAATGGCAGATAGGGGATGTTAATGTGATTGCAGATTACTGCTAGACGTAACTAAGGAAATCCAAAAGCATACGTAACAGAAGTAGGAAAAACACAACTTTACCACAAAACACAATTGCAATGCAAGATCACTGAATAAGAATTTTTTAATGCCAGTAATTTAATTTATATCTTTTGTAAATATACACAGGATGTCCATACAAGCTACATTTTTGGCTTCACGCGATGGGTCAGTTAAAAAATATTTTGATCTTGATTTTCCTCCTTTAACTTCAACAACAGTCAACAATTCAACAATATTCCTTTGTAAGTAGTGTACAACATTTTTTTAAATTTTCAATTTTGTTACATTTGGTACACAGTTACACAGGTCTACAATTGCCATCAACTCATCTTCCAAAAATTCAGCCCTACACACATCACCATTATGATATTAATACAGCCTTTCAATGCTTCATCATTTTTATTCTGGAAGGTGAAATTAAATAGTTGCCTTATTTTTACTTTGTGTATTTATTACATAAATTCTGATTGTATTATAATACATATTAAAGGTTCAATATTAGTGATACTTTAGATTTAATGTGATAAGTTTCACAACCATGAGAACAAAGTTTTTTTTCATGGAATTAATAATAATTCTTTCTTTATTTTATGCCTCTAAGGTTTTATAGTAATACTGTGTCAGAACAGTAAAAGAAACCTGCACAAAGTACTTTTTTTTTTTCATTCCTGTCCATCTAACTAGGCATACTTATCTTCAAAGCATTTTGTACATTCAGTTCATACATTCAGCCCTCCATGCTAAAATATCATAGAAAAGACTACTAACTCTAAAAATGATGACAAACTATTTTAGACATTTTTATGAAATAAAGAGAAACGAATATTCAAAATTCTAAAATATAAAAAAATCAAATAACTCCATCACTCTAAATTATAATCAGCTGAGAAAATAATTAAACAAGTACATGGTGTTCAGTTTAAAAGCAGATCCTTAATAGAAAGATATGCCTTACCTATAGCATATACTCGAAATGGTGTCCCTCCATTTTAGATACATTTGTCAACACATTTTATCATGTTACAAGCAATCCTATAGATGCTTTCCTTTTCTCTACTCTGGATAGCAGTAGTGTGTGTTTCAAGGTGAGAGCATTGTTTAAGAACACAATATATTTCATAAAAATAGTCTATGTCATCTGTCCCCATAAAAATAGTCTACATCGGTAGGATTTGATGATGTCACCAGGCATAGTTATGTCACTGAAAACACTGCTCCAACATCTTCATGATGTTGTGTGATAAAATACACCTTCCTACATTCTGAAATGACAGTCATTCATTCTCCTGCAGAAAGCCAATGAAGTACTAGAAGATAATGCCTAGGCAGGCGTCAGCTTCCTTGGTTCAAACAAGGGTTTGATTATTGCTGTTGTTGTTACTTATCTCATTTGTCTGACAGTCACATCAGAATAAGCCCACAAAATCATCATCGCAAGGAGTGCAAGACTGTGCCTGTCATTGGCAAGAACTTTGAGCACCATGCAGGAGAGAGCTTTGCTTAGTTCCGTACCTAATTTGAATGGAGAGCACCCCAGGAGGGGGCAAGTCCGAGGGTCTTCCACCCCTCTTCCCCTACCACTTATCTTTCTAGAGGACTTTCGGGTCGCCGCTTATTTAGCGTCCCCCCATGCTGCACACACACTATACATTTACAAACATCCACACACCCTCTGGAATTAGAACCTATTTCATGACCAGTTGCGACTTTTTTGGGGTGATTTTTATCCACGAACTCTACAAAATTCTCCTACATTCCCAAGATCTCCTTTATATCTCTTGTAGGGATAACCTCCTCCATCTCTGGCTCCTCTTCAAAACTAATTTTTCGTTGAATCACCGTATGCTGCTGCGAATGTACAGATCGTGTAACTCCTCGGTTGTCAGCTCCTGAGACTGTTGTTCGACGAGTTCGTTCACATCTCTCTCATCCACCTACAGATCCATGGATTTCACCAGAGAAACAATCTGCTCTACCACTGGCAGTTCTGGTTCCAATCCTTCGAAGGCCCTTTCAGCTACAGCCTCAAGCCACAGCTTCTTCCATGCAGAGGTTAAGGTCCTCGTTGTAACACTCAGCCAGGCCTGATCAATAATTTTAGGCATATCACGATGTTAAAGTGGTCCTTCCAGAACTCTCGAAGGGTAAGGTTTGTGTTCTCCGTCACCTCAAAGCAGTGTCGAAAAATGTGCTTTGTGTACAACTTCTTAAAATTAGAAATCACCTGCTGATCCATGGGCTGCAGGATAGGAGTGGTGTTGGGTGGTAGGTAGAGAACCTTTATAAACTTGAACTCTTTGAGTAAATCATCTTCGAGATTTGGTGGCTGAACAGGGGCATTGTCGAGGACGAGAAGGGCTTGCATGGGTAGGTTGTTTTCCTGTAGATATTTTTTTAACAGAAGGGCCAAACACCAGGTTTATCCACTCCACAAAGAATTTCCTGGTGACCCACGCCTTCGGATTTGCCCTCCACATAAATGGCAGTTTTTCTTTTAAAATCTTATGTGACTTAAAGGCTCTGGGATTTTCCGAATGGTATACTAGCAGAGGCTTGATTTTGCAGTCGCCACTCGCATTGGCGCAAAGTGCTAGAGTTAATCTATCCTTCATGGGTTTGTGACCTGGCATCGTCTTCTCCTCTGCCATTATGTAAGTCCTATTCGGCATTCTTTTCCAGAAAAGCACTGTCTCATCAGAATTGAAGACTTTCTGGGAGATGTATCCTTTGGCTTCTATCAGTTCGGAAAACGTTTTGATGTAAACCTCAGCTGCCTTCACATCCGAACTTGCTGCCTTACCATACCTGACGCAGAGTTGCCAACTCTCCCGATTTAAGCGGGAGACTCCCGCTTTTCGACCGCTCTCCCGCCAACCCGATTTACAATATATTTCTCCCGACTTTTTCTTATTCTTAAAATTTCTCACGACTTTTATGCAACTTGGCTTAATACTTTGTTATATGAATAAAAACAAAGTGCTTTTGGATGTCTGAAAGCAATTGAATTATTCTACATTATATCTAAAACAAAACCTCGCTAATCAG